CCAGCTGCCTGGCCTGCAAAGACAGCCACACAGCAAAGCGCCCCCTCCGTCCCCACCACTGCCCCCGCCGTGGGCGTGCTGAGGCCCATGCGGATGGGCTGGGGGCTGCCGGTCCCCTGGGAAGTCCTCATGTCCCAGGATGCTCCCCGGTGCGCCCCAAGCAGGCCTCTCCCCCAGGCCCAGAGGCCTGCTGGGTGGGCCCCTGGGAATTCACCCTTCCCTCCCATCCAGGCCCCGCCTCCCCCAGCGCCTGATTGATCTGAAACATCCACCCACAGCAGAGAGGGGGCCCCAGTGGCTCCCCCTTCTCCCCAGATGCCCACCCCGCTTCTTCCCCAGCCTCCTTAAGGCTCTGCGAATTCCCACCTCTATCTCGTGTTCCAGGCCTTGAGGGGGTTGGGTTTTTTTTTTTTTTTTCCATTTTTTTTCCCCTGCAGCTACAAATCAGGAAACCATAAAATAACCCGGGTAAGTAGGAGGGAGGGAACCAGCAGCCTCAGAGCCGCTGCTGCCTGGCTGCCGGGAGCAGCGTGTGTCCCTCCCCTCCTCTCAGGAGAGTGTTCCAGGGGCTCGGTGCTGTGGGGCAGCGGGTTCAGCCACTCCCCGGGGGCCACCTGCATCCCGCGTGGGAGCGCCAGTTCCAGTCACAGCTGCTGGCACTGCTGGTCCAGCCCCTGCTCACGCGCCTGGGAGGCAGCAGCAGATGAGCCCGAGTGCTTGGGCCCCAGCCTCCCACGTGGGAGACCCAGACGAGGCTCCAGGCTCCCGGGTTTGGGCTGACCCTGCCCTGGTCGTTGTGGGCACTGGAAGTGAACCAGCAGGTGGAAGGTGGATCTCTCTTCTCTCCTTCTGTCAGTCTGCCTTTATAATAAATAAATCAGTCCCTTTTTCTAAGATTTGTTTATTTACTTGAAAGAGTGACACAGAGAGAGGAGAGGCAGAGAGAGAGAGAGGGAGGAAGGGAGAGAGGTCTCCCATCTGCTGGTTCACTCCCCGATTGGCTGCAATTGCCAGAGCTGTGCTGATCCTAAGCCAGGAGCTTCTTCCAGGTCTCCCATGTGGGTGCAGGGGCCCAAGGACTTGGGCCATCCTCTACTGCTTTCCCAGGTCATAGCAGAGAACTGTATCGGAAATGGAGCAGCCAGGTCTTGAACCAACGCCCATGTAGAATGCCGGCACTGCAGGCAGCAGCTTTACCTGCTACGCCACAACACTGGCCCCAAATAAATAAATCTTAAACAAGCAAACAACCAGTAAGTCGCAGCCACCACCTTCCAGCCAGGCTCCTTGTGGCCCCCGCTACAGGTCAGGTCCACGCCGTGCCCGGTTCCCTGGCTGGGGTGTGGAGGGACCTGGGCCTTGTAACCTCGCTGGGTGGCTGCCAGTGCTCAGGGCATAGCAGTCACCCTGGCCATCAGAAGCCAGTGACCGCTGGCGCTGCAGCTCACTAGGCTAATGCTCCGCCTGTGGCGCCGGCACACCGGGTTCTAGTCCCGGGCGGGGCGCCAGATTCTGTCCCGGTTGCCCCTCTTCCAGGCCAGCTCTCTGCTGTGGCCCGGGAGTGCAGTGCAGGATGGCCCAAGTGCTTGGGTCCTGCACCCCATGGGAGACCAGGAGAAGCACCTGGCTCCTGGCTTCGGATCAGCGTGGTGCGCTGGCCGTGGCGGCCATTGGAGGGTGAACCAACAGCAAAGGAAGACCTTTCTCTCTGTCTCTCTCTCTCACTGTCCACTCTGCCTGTCAAAAAAATAAAAAATTAAAAAAAAAAAAAAGAAGCCAGTGATCATCGTTGCCCACTGGTGGGGAAGGAAGGCGTGGTTAGGTTAAAGGGGCTTCCGGGGGCTGGGCTTGCGGCGCGGCAGGTTAAGCTGCTATTTGGCAATGCTGGCATTGAGCACCAGCTCAAAGCAGCTCCTGGCTAACGCCTGGGAAAGCAGCAGAGGATGGCCCAAGGGCTTGGGCTCATGCACCCGCGTGGAGAACCGGATGGAGCTCCTGGCTTCAGCCTGGTCCATCCTTGGCCGTTGTAGCCATTTGGGGAGTGACCCAGCAGATGGAAGACCTCTCTCTCTCTCTCTCTCATCTGCCTCTCAAATAAATACTTCAAAGAAAAAGAACAAAGATCGGGCACGCAGCAGAGGGGATGAGGGCACCTTTGTCTTATCATTCGGCTCCCTGGTAGCTTCCGCGCGGTGGGGTCCAGTGAGGGGCTGTGAGCCTGGGTGTGGCCTGGCTGCCTCCTCTTGGTGGCTGGGCTCTGCCCTGGGGCTCTGAGCCTCATTTTTTTCTGTAAAGGGCAGGACGGTCAAAGCCTCGAGCGAGAAAATCCTGCAGGGGAGCGGACGGCTGTGTGCCCCCAGAGTTCTCCTGCTGGCTTGGCACTGGAGGGCCAGTCCTCGGGGAGCTGAGCCAGGGGACGTCCTGGGGCCGGCTTCAGGCCTCTGTATCCGGTGCCCGAGGCCTCGGTGGGTGGGGAAGATGGGATGGGAGGGGCCGTGGAGGGAGGGGTCTCCGGACCCCCCCTGGAGCCCCTGGTGGGTGGAGGGGTGCCCTCCAGGCCCCCACGCCCCCTTTGCCACTTGCCCCTCCCCCAGGTCACCATTACCCCTCCCTCCCCCCTCCACTTCCTTTTCTAGTGCTCTTGAAAAAATAATAATTAATAACAACAGAACTGTGGCAGGCCCGAGGCAGCTCTTAAAGGGGCAGCGCCCCGTTTTCTGCCGGCAGAGCAGGCCCCAGGACTGGGGGAGGGGAGCCCCTGTGGGGGTCCACGCCTTTGTTCTGGCCGGGCCCCCGCTCTGGCTGGGCTGCGGGTGGCGTTGGGGCGAGCTCCATCAGGCGCTGGGCCTCTCCTATTCTAATTGAACTGTCTTTTCTTGGAGATAGATGTTCGCACGGCATCCGGCTGCTTGTGTGCGTTGGGAAGGCGGCCTGTAATGTAACACAGCTCGGCTAAATTAAAAGACGCAGCAGCTGGGATGATTAAACGGGGAGGGGGAGAGATGGGGACGGAGCAGGCGAGGAGGGGACGCTGATAATAGCACGCCCCCCCCCCCCCCCCCCCCGCCGCCGCCTTCTTTCTCTTCTCTCTTTAAATGTCTCTGGTAATGCATTTTGAAGAATGTGCAAGAAAAAAAAATTTTAAAAGCTGTAGAAATGTTAATGATATCCACAGGACACTCAGCAGGAAATGAGGGAGACCTGGGAGTAATCAAAGCTGAAATGTAATTTGTGCAGATATACGACAGGCTCGGTGCGTTCTGGACTTACACAGAGGGCAGGGTGCAGGTCCCACCGTGCCCACCCCCTCCCCACCCTGGCCTTGCTGCAGGCACCCCGGAGCGGAGGTGGCCTCCACAAGCCGGCCCCTCAGCAGAGGCGTCTGCCCAGGCCCTGCAGCCCCTTCCCCGCCCCCACCCTCCACCCCCGGAAACCGGTTCATCTGACAGGCCAGAACCCAGCCGCCACTGCCGCCGCCGCCAGCAGCTCCCCTGGGCGGGCGGGCGCGCCAGAGCAGGCCCTCGGTGTAAGGTTTATCCCAGCCGCCCGGGCTGGGATTGAAGTGGGTCAGAAGGGGCGGGCGTGTTGCTCCTTGTTAGGGACCTCAGTGACACATCCGGGGGTGGGGGGGAGGGGCCGTGGGAGAGAAGGGGTCTTGCCTGGCGACCCCTTTACCCCCCCAGGGCTGGGTGGCATCCAGGCCAGGGAAGAGTGAGCTGCCCCCCCGCCCCCGCCTCCCTTCTCTCCTCCCTGCCCCCACCCCCAAGTCTGGGTGTCTCTGGTCCCTGAGAACACCCTGGAATCTTGGTAGCCCGACCCGGGTCCCTCTTCCCCCTCTCTCTGAGTCTGGGAATGAGAACTGGAAAGTCCCCGTCCCCTCCTGGGACCTGGGCCATGCAGGCCAAGCTGTTCGGCCAACAGCTTTCGCTCTGTGCTGCAGGGTTCCTGGCGTTGGTCTGGCTTCTGCCCCTCCTTCCAAGGCCTTCTGGGCTGACCAGGCCTTGCTGGGCTGAGTGTGTGGGGTAGGGGGAGGCGGGAGGACCCTCAGCCCGGCCTGTGTTGGGACTGCAGCTCCTCTGGCCTGAGAAGTGCCTCCCACCCGCCCCGGGTCATCTCTTGAACCGGGATCCTGCTACGGGGACAAGGTAGTTCCTGCCCTGGCCCCAGCCCCTAAAACATCACCAGATGGGTTCTGGGGCGTGGCCCTGGGAGGGGCCTGTTAGCGTGCACTCACGTCATTGTTTATGCAGCTACAGTATGGGAGGCGGGCGCAGGTGCCCCCAGCCTGCGTGCCCGGGAGTCACAGCAGGGGGCGTTTTATGTCTGATGGCTCAGGAGCCCCCCGTTGAGGTCTGCTCGTAGCAATAGATTCCAGATGGCGTGGCAGTGGTGGAGGAGGTTGTGTGTGTGTGTGTACACGCTGAACCTCAGCAGCCTTTGCAAGCAGCCTCTCCCAGGGCCCCGGGCCACCCCTCCCAGGGTCCCCAGCGTGGCTGGGTCACCGCTGAGCATGGCCGGTGCCCCCACAGGGACTGGGGTACGGGATGCAGCGGCCCCTCCCAGGGAGGTGATGGACGGGGGGAGCGGGTACATGATGTTGGGCTGTTAGGAAGGGCTGGGAGTGGCTGGAGGAGGGCGGCCAGGGTTTCTCGCCTCCAGGTGGTGGTGCTGGTGGTGGTGGTGGTGGTGGTGGTGGTGTGGTGGTTGGCTGAGCTCTGACGGGGCTCAGCTGCAGGCTCCGGCACAGCACACCCGCTACCCCCCCAAAACACAGAAGTTGTCGAAATATGTGCAGAGCTGGTGGTGGAGAGGCTTGGAGCTGGGGGAGGTGGGTGGGAGGGGGGTTTTGGGAGGTGGAGGAAGTGGCCCCCATCTGACCGGCTCTCCCCCTGCCCTCCCCGCCTCCCCCTGTGCCTCCCTCCCTCCCTCCCTGCCTCCCTCTCTCTCTGTCTCTCTCTGTTTCTCTCTCTGTCTCTCTCTCTGTCTCTGTCTGTTCACAGCTGACCAGCCCAAGTCATGCAGTCCTTTCGAGAAAGGTGTGGTCTCCATGGCAAGCAACAGAACTACCAGCAGAGTTCCCAGGAGCCATCGCGCCTCGAGAACTATAGGCAGCCCGGGCAGGCCGGGCTGAGCTGCGACCGGCAGCGGCTGCTCACCAAAGACTACTACAGCCCGCAGCCCTACCCGGCGGCGGCTTACGAGGGCACGGGGCCCGCGGGCACGGCGGCCGACAAGTACCACCGAGGCAGCGGCAAAGCGCTGCCCTCGCAGCAGGCCCTGCAAGGGAGGCCGCCCTTCCCCGGCTACGGCGTCCAGGACAGCGGCCCTTACCCGGGGGGCTATTCGGGTGAGGAGAGCCTGCAGGCCTGGGGGACCCCGCAGCCCCCGCCCCCGCAGCCGCAGCCCCTGCCGGGGGGCGTGGGCAAATATGAAGAGAACCTGATGAAGAAGACGGCGGTGCCGCCCGGCCGGCAGTACGCGGAGCAAGGCGCCCAGCTGCCCTTTCGGACTCACTCCCTGCCGCAGCCGCAGCAGCCGCCGCCCCCGCCCCCGCAGCCGCCGCAGCCCCCGCAGCCGCTCGCCTACCCCAAGCTGCAAAGGCAGAAGCTGCAGAATGACATCGGGTCCCCCCTGCCCTTCCCCCAAAGCGGCCACTTTCCCCAACACTCCCAGTCCTTCCCCGCCTCCTCCACCTACTCCTCCTCCTCCGTCCAGGGCGGCGGCCACTCGTACAAGAGCTGCACGGCGGCGCCCTCAGCACAGCCGCACGATCGGCCGCTGACCACCAGTGCCAGCCTCGCGCCGGGCCAGCGGGTGCAGAGTCTCCACGCCTACCCGTCCGGCCGCCTGGGCTACGAGCAGCAGCAGCAGCAGCAGCAGCAGCAGCAACAGCAGGCGGCGCTGCAGAGCCGGCACCACGCCCAGGAGACCCTGCACTACCAAAACCTCGCCAAGTACCAACACTACGGACAGCAAGGGCAGGGCTACTGCCAGCCGGAAGCGGCCGTCAGGACCCCCGAGCAGTACTACCAGACTTTCAGCCCCAGCTCCAGCCACTCGCCCGCCCGCTCCGTGGGCCGCTCGCCTTCCTACAGCTCCACGCCGTCCCCGCTGATGCCCAACCTGGAGAGCTTCCCCTACAGCCAGCAGCCACTCAGCACGGGGGCCTTCCCCGCGGGGCTCGCCGACCACAGCCACTTCATGCCCCTGCTCAACCCCTCCCCAACGGACGCCGGCGGCTCCGTGGACCCCCAGGCCGGCAACTGCAAGGCCCTGCAGAAAGACAAAATCCCCGAGAACCTGCTGTCGGACCTCAGCCTGCAGAGCCTCACGGCGCTGACGTCGCAGGTGGAGAACATCTCCAATACCGTGCAACAACTGCTGCTGTCCAAAGCCAGCCTGCCGCAGAAGAAGAGCGTCAAGAACCTCGTGTCCAGGACCCCCGAGCAGCACAAGAGCCAACACTGCAGCCCCGAGGGCAGCGGCTACTCGGCCGAGCCGGCGGGCACGCCGCTGTCGGAGCCGCTGAGCAGCACGCCGCAGTCCACGCACGCCGAGCCGCAGGAAGCCGACTACCTGAGCGGCTCCGAGGACCCGCTGGAGCGGAGCCTCCTGTACTGCAGCCAGGCCCGCGGCAGCCCCGCCAGGGTCAGCAGCGGCTCCAAGGCCAAGCCCGAGTCGGTGTCCACCTGCTCCGTGACCTCGCCCGACGACATGTCCACCAAGTCCGACGACTCCTTTCAAAGCCTGCACAGCACCCTGCCCCTCGACAGCTTCTCCAAGTTCGTGGCGGGCGAGCGGGACTGCCCGCGGCTGCTGCTCAGCGCCCTGGCCCAGGAGGACCTGGCCTCCGAGATCCTGGGGCTGCAGGCCATCGGGGAGAAAGCCGACAAGGCGTGGGCCGAGGCGCCCGGCCTGGCCAAGGACGCCGGCAAGCCGCCCTTCGCGCTGGAGAACCACAGCGCCTGCCTGGACTCCGTGGCCAAGGGCGCGTGGCCGCGGCCCGGGGAGCCCGAGGCCCTGCCCGACTCCCTGCAACTCGACAAGGACGCCAGCTCCAAGGACTTCGGCCCGGGGGCGCTGTTTGAAGACGCTTCTGTGGCCTTCGCCACCCCTGACCCCAAAAAGCCAACGGGTCCCCTGTCCTTTGGCACCAAGCCTGCCCCGGGGGCCGCCGCTGCCCCGGACCCTACAGCGGCGACAGCTTTCGATTGCTTCCAAGACACGACCGCCGCCGCAGCCACCGGCTCGGCCGACGGCGCCAACCCCTTTGTGTGGCCGGAGGAGAACCTGGGCGACGCGTGTCCCCGGTGGGGCCTGCACCCCGGGGAGCTCACCAAGGGCCTAGAGCAGGGCGGCAAGGCCTCGGACGGGGTCGGCAAAGGCGACGCCCATGAGGCGGCAGCCTGCCTGGGCTTCCAGGAGGAGGCGCCTCCCGGGGAGAAGGCGGCGGCCGCCCTGCCCGGGGACTTCAAGGAGGAGGAGGAGGCGGGCGGGGTGAAGGAGGAGGCGGGCGGGCTGCTGCAGTGCCCGGAGGTGGGCAAGGCCGACCGGTGGCTGGAGGACAGCCGGCACTGCTGCTCCACCAACGACTTCGGGGACCTGCCGCTGCTGCCGCCCACGGGCAGGAAGGAAGACCTGGAGGCCGAGGAGGAATACTCGTCCCTGTGTGAGCTGCTGGGCAGCCCGGGCCAGCGGCCCAGCGTGCAGGACCCGCTGTCGCCCAAGGCCCCGCTGCTGTGCACCAAGGAGGAGGTTCAGCAGGTGCTGGACGCCAAGGCGGGCTGGGGCTCCCCGTGCCACCTCTCCGGGGACTCGGTCATCTTGCTGGGCCCCACCGTGGGCACCGAGTCCAAGGTGCAGAGCTGGTTCGAGTCCTCGCTGTCGCACATGAAGCCGGGGGAAGAGGCGTCCGGCGGTGGCGGCGGCGGCGGGGAACGGGCTCCTGGGGGGGAGTCGGCCGCCCCGGTGGACGCCCTGCCCGAGGCGCCCATCGCGAAGAAAGAGCCGGTGCCCCGGGGCAAGAGCTTGAGGAGCCGGAGGGTGCAGCGGGGGCTGCCCGAGGCCGAGGACTCCCCGTGCAGGGCGCCCGCGCTGCCCAAGGATCTGCTGCTCCCGGAGTCCTGCACGGGGCCCCCACAGGCGCAGATGGGCGGGGTTGGGGCCCCCGGCCGGGGGGCCTCGGAGGGGCTCCCTCGCATGTGCACCCGCTCCCTCACGGCCCTGAGCGAGCCTCGCACGCCCGGGCCCCCGGGCCTGACCACCACCCCGGCGCCCCCAGACAGGCTAGGGGGCAGGCAGCGCGCTGCCTTCAAATCGGGCAAGCGAGTCGGGAAGCCGTCGCCCAAGGCCGCCTCCAGCCCCAGCAACCCGGCCGCCCTGCCCGTGGCCTCGGACAGCAGCCCCGTGGGCTCCAAGACCAAGGAGACCGACTCGCCCGGTGCGGCCGGCAAGGACCAGCGCTCCATGATCCTGCGCTCCCGCAACAAAACCCCGTACCAGAACGCCAAGCGGAGACGGCCCTCCGAGAACCGCCTGCCCAACGGCCGCGCCACCAAGAAGCTCCTGGCCAACAGCCACCTGCCCACCGCTGCTGCCGCCGCCACCACATTCAAGGCCTCCGACAGCCCCCCGCAGAAGGAGGGGCGGGCAGGCCAGCGGGCCAGGGTGCCCAAGCCCGGGGCAGGCGGCAGGCTCCCAGAGCGGGCCCTGCACACGCTCAAAAGGAAGTCGCCCTTCATGGCGCCTGTCCCCACGAAGAAGCGCAGCCTCGTGTTGCGTGGCAGCTACGGCGACAGCAAGGACGAGCAGGCCGAGGGCGCACCTGCCCTGTTCAAGAGGGTGTCCTCCCCCAAGAAGACCAAGCCGGCCAAGGGTGGCAGTGGTGAGCCCATGGCCAAGCCCGCGCCCCCTGAGGCGGCCGCTGCCACCGACGAGGCCGCCACCGCCTGCCTCAAGCTGGCCTCCAGGGTGGCCTTCCAGGGGACCGTGAAGACCAAGGTGTTGCCTCCGCGCAAAGGCCGGGGCCTGAAGCTGGAAGCCATCGTGCAGAAGATCACCTCGCCCAGCCTGAAGAAGCTGGCGTGCAAAGTGCCAGGGGCCGCCCCCGGGGACCCCGTGAGCCCCGCCCTCCCCGAAAAGGACCGCAGCAGCGCAGGCCTCAAGAGTGCCGGGGGCAGCCCGGTGGGCGCCGAGGAAGGGGCGTCGGGCGCGGGGCCTGGGCCGAAGCTCCCGGCCGTGGCGGCGGCAGCCACTCCAGGCACCGAGCCACCTTCGTGCAGAAACCCGGCCAGCAGGTCCTTAAAGGGCAAAGTCGGGAACAGTAAGAAGCTGTCCTCGACGGACTGTTTCAAACCCGAGGCCTTCCCCTCCGCCGCAGCTCCCAAGAAGAGAAGCCGGAAGGGCCGGGCCAGCCTGGGCCCAGCGCTGCTCCTGACGCCCCGAGACAGGGCCGGTGGCGGTGGTGGCGGCGGCACGCAGAGGACTGGCGAGGACAGCTCCGGGCCGGGAGGCAAGAAGCCAAAGACGGAAGAGCTGGGCCCGGTCCCCCAGCCCCCCGACGGCCGGCCCTGCCAGCCGCAGACCAGGGCTCAGAAGCAGCCGAGCCACGCCGGCTACGGTGGCGGCTATTCCAAACGGAAGCGCCTCACCCGGGGCCGGGCCAAGAACGCCACATCCTCGCCCTGTAAGGGGCGGGCCAAGCGGCGCCGGCAGCAGCAGATGCTGCCCCTGGATCCCGCCGAGCCTGAGATCCGCCTCAAGTACATCTCTTCCTGCAAGCGGCTCAGGGCAGACAGCCGGACCCCGGCCTTCTCCCCCTTCGTACGGGTGGAGAAGCGAGACGCGTTCACCACCGTGTGCACTGTTGTCAACTCCCCCGGGGACGAGCCCAAGCCCCACAGGAAGCCTTCCTCCTCCGCCTCCTCCTCCTCCTCCTCGGCCTCCGCCGCCGCCTCACTGTCCCTGGACGCGGCGGCCGGGGCCTCCCTGGCCACGCTGCCCGGGGCCTCCGTCCTGCAGCCGCGGCCCTCTCTGCCTCTCTCCTCCACGATGCACCTGGGGCCTGTGGTGTCCAAGGCCCTGAGTACCTCTTGCCTTGTTTGCTGTCTCTGCCAAAACCCAGCCAACTTCAAGGACCTAGGGGACCTGTGCGGGCCCTACTACCCCGAACATTGCCTCCCCAAAAAGAAGCCAAAACTCAAGGAGCAGGTGCGGCCCGAGGGCACCTGCGAGGAGGCCCCGCCTCCCCTCGAGAGGACACTCAAGGGTCTCGAGTGTGTGGCGGCGGCCTCAGCCACGGCGGCCGCTGCCACCACCCCCGGGAAGGCCCCCAGGCCTGACGGCTCCGCAGACCCCGCCAAGCAGGGCTCGCTGCGCACCAGTGCCCGGGGCCTGTCCCGGCGGCTGCAGAGTTGCTACTGCTGTGACGGGCAGGGGGACGGGGGTGAGGAGGCGGCTGCGGCCGACAAGAGCCGGAAACATGAGTGCAGCAAGCAGGCCTCTGCAGAGCCCGGGGGGGACACCCAGGAGCACTGGGTGCACGAGGCCTGCGCCGTGTGGACCAGCGGGGTCTACCTGGTGGCCGGGAAGCTGTATGGGCTGCAGGAGGCCATGAAGGTGGCCGTGGACATGGTAAGAGGAGGCCGGCCCAGCTAGGGTGGGGAACTTGGGGTCTCCAAGGGCAGGCATTCGGGGAGCCCCAGAGTCCCTCTGGAGCCGTGGTGTGGGTCAGCCGTGCTCCTGGGCGCAGAGCCGTGTGGGTGGACCTAGAGTCCGTTGGGGGAGTTGAGGGGGGAAACTGAGGCACGCTCAATTACCCCCCACCCCCATGTCCCAGGACATACCCTACTACCAGAGCCCCTGTGTCCAGCCTGCCCCCAGCCCAGCCAGTACACACACACAGCTCTGGCCCCATGCAGGCCAAGAAGCCAAGACCCCCAGCCTAGGATCCCAGGGCAGCCCACAAAAGCAAGCCGCCCTCGGCAGCTCTGCCTGTGAACCCCCTCCGTGGGACGTCCGTCCCCCATGCCCCGCCCAGTCCCCCTCCCGGGAGCTCAGTGAACAAGGACCCTGGGCTGCCCCGGAGTTCACTGTGTGACCCTGGGAACCTGACCTGCCCCCCTCTGAGCTCCGGTTGCTGTTCTGTGCACATGGGCGCCGCTCTCCCCTCCCCCATGGTGGGGGGTGACACGTCACATGCTAGGGCTGGAGCCTGGCCCCCGAGTCAGTGGCTGTGTAGCCGTGGGAGGCTCCCCTGGGAGTGGTGTCCCTGCTGCTGGCAGCTGGGCGCCCTCTCCTTGGGAGCCACACATTCCACATGCCCCCCCCACCCCGCCCCTACTGTGCCTCCGAGTGCCGGCCCTTCTTCCCATGCCGACCTGCCGGGAGCCATGGGCTCTCGTTGCCCATTCAGACTGCCTGCTCCCCCCACAGACACCTGTGAACCTTCTGTACACAGCTCCCTCCCTGGTCCTGCCGCCTCGGCGCAGCCAGCATCCAGGTGGGGGCTCCGGAGGTCTGGATTTGCCTGCCTCTGGTGTCTCGGTGACCCAGTATAGCTGCCGGGGCCCCAGCCCTCACCCTTTCCTCCGAGTGCACCAGCTTCTGCTTGCGAGAGGCAGCATTTGGAGCACCATGCTCCAAATGGTTGGGACTCCCCCAATGTGGGCTGTAGACCCTCCCTGTGCCTGGACGTCCGCTGCCTGACACCTGATGCCCCACCCTGCTGCGTCCCCACCCCCAGCCCGGTATCTCCCCTCTTCCCTTCCAAGTGGTTCCTCCTGGCTGCTTCCTTCATGCTTGGTCCCATCCAGCTGACACAGGTTCCCGTCTCCCCCCGCAGCCCCGTCATTAAAAGCCGCTGCCCTCCCTAACACACACAACCCCACTCCAGTAGGCATCACCTGCACTGCATCCTCACTGGGTGCTGGTGCCCCCCCCCGCCCCACCTCCAGGGCTGTCTGGGCGGGGACTGGGGTGTCTGTGTGTGCCCTGCACTGGCTGGCCCTGGGCGGGAAGGGGTTAGAGACAGCAGGGAGAGTGCATGAAGCCACCGTTCAGGCCCATCAGAGAGGGGTCGTGCCTCCCCGCAGGCACGCAGCCACTGCACCTGCTCCACAAATGGCCACGCAGCCTCCCCCGCACAGGTCACACAGCGGGGCAGGCGGTGTCTGCGTATCAGATGGCCCCGGTGCAGGGCAGGGCGTGTCCCCAGAGGCAGGGCTATCTCCTGTGGAACACTCCGGAAGAACGAGCAGCGTCTAGGACGCCCCCGTGTCCCGCTGAGCCCCTGGCACGCAGGGCTTGACAAACCCCAGGGACGCTGGGGCCTTCGGTGTCTCTGTGGGACCTCAGGTTCCCAGGCTGCCCGGGGCCTGCTGCTCTCCTTATACTGGGGGACACATCTGTCATCCAGACCGGGCCGCCTCGGGGCGTGGTCACGAGGCTGAGCGGTGCCTGGTGCCGGCTCCTTGGCCAGCAGCAGAGCACAGGGGCGGCTGACTCCAGCTCCCTGTCTGGAGCAGAGTGGAGGGGCAGGGTCCCATTCTGGGTCAGAAACCATGGGCCCAGGTGCCCAGGAGGACAACCCCACAAAGGGGCCCATCCTGATATTCTAAAAAGTACCCCAGCCCCGCACGGCCCCACTGCCAGCTCTGGGCACCAGAGGGCGCACTCCTAGGCGCCACCCTCGCCTCCCCCAGCTCTGGGCTGTGGTGTGCATGGAGCTGTCCAGCAGGGCAGTAAGGGACAGTGGGTACTCCAGGCTGGCCACCTAAGTCAGGAAATGCATGGGGTGATGAGGGACCCAGCTTCCGGCCGTGGCTAGCACAGCCAGCCACCCGCTGGTTCACTCTCCAAATGGCTGTAACGGCAGGGACTGGGCCAAGCCGGAGCCAGGAGCCAGGAACTTCTTCTGGGTCTCCCATTTGGGTGGCAGGGGGTCCCAGCACTTGGGCCATCCTTTGCTGCTTTCCCAAGCATATTAGCAGGGAGCTGGATCGGAAGTGGAGCAGCCGGGACTTGAACCGGTGCCTGTAGGAGATGCCACCCCTGTGGCACAGTGTCCATGCCCTTGCTAAACTCTTCCAGAGGACCTGCTTGTCACTGCCATCCCGTGCTCACTAGGTCCCCTCCAAGTGGCCAGGCCAGGCGCTGGGCAGCCCCCAAACTCAGCAGATAGTAGTTTTGGAGAACATGAAATTGACATAAAGGGGTGTGTCTATACTGCCACGGTGGGGGGCCTCCAAGATCAGACCCGGGGTTCCAGGGAGGGCAGAGAAGTCTGATTCCATGTGGAGTGTTCCTGCTGCTGCCCGGAAGGGCGGAGACCAATGCAGGGGGTGCCTCAGTCTCCCCACCTGGAAAGTGGGTTCAATGGGAAGTACCCTGTTTCCAGTACCTTCCATTGCAGGTGCTGCCTGGTGGCCACAGACAAGAGGGGTTGCCAAGGTCCGTGGCCCAAGAAGGGCCCCGCGCATCCAGTGCACCAGCCCAGGGGGTGTGGGTACCCAGCCGGCTGGGATGGGCGTGTGGGAAGCCTGGGGTTGGGGACTGACCTGCCTCCCCTCTCTCCGGCAGACCTGTTCCAGCTGCCAAGAGCCCGGGGCCACCATTGGGTGTTGCCACAAAGGATGCACCCACACCTACCACTACCCGTGTGCCAGTGATGCGGGTAAGAGCCGGCCTGCGGGGACCGGGAGGCCGTCAGTGCCACCTCCTTGGCGCCCCTCTGCTGCCGCCCGAGCTGTTCTTCATCGCCTCTTCCTCCTCCCCCCTTTCCTCCCCCTCCCCCCTTCCTCCTGCTCCTCCTCCTCTCCACCCAGACCTGGGCTGGGCAGTGCCAGGGCCGTGGCAGTGAGCCCTCTCCAGCCACCTTCGTGAGGCCTTTACAGAGAAGCCAAAGAGTGGTAGAAGGAGGGAGGTGCTGGGGGCGGGGCCTCGAAGACGGAGGGGTGGGGCACAGAGGAGGCGGGGCCAGTTCCCGTCGCCCCTCCCTCCCTCTGCCACCTGCCGGGCCCCTGTTCCAGACCGCCTGATTGGGCCACAGGGATTTTTGGGGGGTCACCCACCCTCTGAGGCTCGGAGACACTCGTTGCAAAACAAGCAGTGGGTTAGGGGGCCATGGGCTCTGTGTCAGCGGGGGGCTTCCCAGCCAGTGTGGCCTGGATCCAAACCCCCCTGGTGGGGGTCCACGTGTGAAATGGAGATTACTGTGGTCTCTTCTCACTGGTTGTGGAAGAGGCAAAGCCCCTCTGACCGCGCCACCCCACCCCCACCCTCCGTCCCTCCTGGCGCTGTCCTGGCTAGCATCACTCTCCCAAGTCGGCTGTCTCCCCCCCGCCCCCGCCCCATGACACCTGCTCCCTGGGCACCAGGGACCACAATCCTGCACACTGCCTGCTCACGGGGTCCGGAACCAGTCTGTCCCAGCCACACTGCCCCCACCCCACTCCCACTCCCAGGAGGCTTTGAGGGACAACACGGGCTGAGCTGCCAGCATCCAGCATGGAATGGGGGGTCCGGCTGGACTGGACCTCCCCCAGGGGCTCCTCACCAGTGCCCCCCTCCCACTCCCAGCAGCAAGAACCGGATCTCTGCACCGGCAGCGCCTTCCCCAGGCGCGTGGCTTCGCTCCCGTGTTAGCTACCTGAGTCCCAGTCCTGCTTCCACAGCGGTTTATTTCGCCCTGGGCCTGGGGGCATCGGCCTCCCAGCTCTCTCCAGCTGCACCTTGAGGGCTGGGCGGCCCCTCGGCAGGCCCCAGGGCCTGGTATGGACAGAACCAGGCCAAAGCTCTCCGTCCTGTGTTCCTTCTACCCCGGCACCGTCCAGCCTCCCACGTGGAACAGACAGGAAAGCCATGGCAAGGGGGAGAGTGTGTGCGGTGGGACAGGGTCATTCTGTCCGACCTGGAGGGGGCAATACAGGAGGGCTTGCAGGAGGAGGTGGAGATATCTGAGCCAGGCCCTCAGCAGGGCAGAGGATGTGGCTGCAGAGGGCCACGTGCTGGGCGGGGTGGACACAGGCATTGTGCAGTGGATTCCCCAGATACCAGGGATCCCCGGGCAGCCGAGACTGGGGTGTTGTCAGGCTGATGTTAGCGCACAGGGTGAAGGCAGGCCTGACCCCCAGCTTCCGGCCTGAGCAGGATGGAGGGTGTGCAGGTCGGCGTATTAGCTGCTTGCCCTTTCGGGAGCGCCTAAGTGGCTCAAACCAACCCTGCACTGTTTGGCGCAGGCGCTGTGGGCAGCTGGCAGGCTCAGCGGGAGCCGTCGGGCCGCAGGTGGCCCAGCCTGGGCTCCAGGCCTCTCCCTGGCTGCTGCTGGCCGAGGAGGTCCCGGGGACCCGGGTGTGGGAGGGAATGGGGCAGTCTGCCCCCCCAAGCCAGCACTGGGGTCTGGCATGAGGGGCGCCGGGGGGGACCGAGCCGCAGCCTTGTTCCCCTCCGTTCTTACTAAGGAGCCCCACCTCAGAGAGCAGCCTTGCCCTGTAGAGCGGGCGGGTGGTGGTGGCTGTCCCCGCCCATCTATTCCATGGGGGCTTCCCATGCTGGGACCTGGGGCCACCCCAGTACAGACACCAGGAGAGGAGCCACTGATGGCCGGCTGTCCTCACGACCCTGTGTGGCACGAGGCGGGGGACAGCTGCAGCCCAGCACTGCCTTGGCCTGTAGCTGTCCCCACTCTGCCCTTGGGCTGCACACTGGCCACAAGAAGGGTGCACCGGCCAACCCCGCAGCTTAGGGGCTCGGGGTTTTAACAGGGCAGCTGAGGCTGTTGGGGGGCAGGGTCTCCCCAGGTGGTGCAGACAGGAGCAAGGACTCCCTGAGGGGGACACACCCCTGCCTGGCTGAGGTGGGCATGGCACCCCATGTCCACTCGGCAGGAAGCGGTGGTCTGGGCACCCAGGTTTGCTCACACCCAATACCCATCACCAGCCGCGTCGGTCCACCCCTGGGAGCACCCCCCCCCCGTCCCCCGCCCCCAGGAGGCAGCACGGTGCCCATTCTACAGATGTGGAGAGAGTGGTTCTGCTTGGTCAGCGCTCACTGAGCAGCCAGGGGCTGCAAGACAGACCAGGAACCAGAAAGGAGGCAGTGGAGGGGAGGGTGGCCAGAAGAGGGAGGCTGGTCCCCCTGGGGGGGGGGCGGGGGCAGGGGAGGAGGGGGCAGGCGAGCTGCGGATGGAGCCCTTCAAGCGGTTTCTGCGCACTGTGCGGCCCACCCGCCGCCAACCCCCTAGCGGCCCTCGGTGCCCTGACCACGCACCCTCTCTCCGCTCCCAGGTTGCGCGTTCATCGAAGAGAACTTTTCTTTGAAATGTCCCAAACACAAGGTAAGCGACCACCAGGGGCGCTTGCAGGGTGGGGCGCGGGCTGGGGAGGGGCCCCGCCCCCATGGCTGCCTCCTACCCGGGCGGGCTCAATTCTCTGGGGCAGCCCCTGCACCCCCGCCACGCGAGTGCATCCTGGGGGTGTAGGGGCGTCCTGGGCTGGGGGCGGAGACCCGCCAGTGACCGGCGCTGGACGTCTTCTCCCCGTGCAGAGACTCCCGTTGTAATGCAACCCCCGACCGGCCGGAGCCGCCGCCGCCCGCGCAGCACCGCCGGCCCGGGCCTCGGAGCAGCTCCCGGCGCCGGAGCCGATCCTTGATCTGGGCCCCGGGTGTTGGAGCCGGCCGCCAAGAGCTGAGACCTGTGCACACACCTGCCCCGCCGACCCTCGCCCCCACCCCACCCGGGGTGGGGGAGGAAACCCGTTCCGGAGCCGCCTGCTCCCGGAACCGGACAGCCCGGGGCGCTAGTGCGCGCGCTCCCTGGGGCCAGGCCCGAAGCCGGGGAGCTCTCCCCACTGCCCTCCGCCCCGCCGCGGGACATCCAGGACGACGTGGCACGCATCCACCCGCATGGGTGCTGCCGTCACCACCCCCAACCCCGTGGCTCGCGCCCTAGGGTCGGTATGGGGGGCGCTAGAGGGTGGGCGCAGACGGCCCTGGGAGAGGCCGAGGGCTGCCCCCCGACCCTGGGCTCCGTGCACCCCACGAGGCGAGGGGGCGAGCCGAGGCTTCCCGGAGCGGGGGAGGGCGGCGGGAGGCTCTGTCTGAGCGCGCCCTAGCCGGCCAGCCTTTGCCAAAGCTTTCGAGCGCTTCCGGGAAGGCCGCCGGGATTGCGGGGGTGTGAGTGGAGGGCAGGCCGGCCGGGGGTATGGGGGCCTGCTCTGGGGACGCGGTCACCGCCACCGCCACCGCCACCTCCGCAGAGCCCCGCCTGGGAACGCGAAGAGGCCACGGCGAGGCGGCCCGAGCGCGCCGGGGGACCACGGCGCGCACTCGGCACGGGAGCAGGGGACGGCGCCGGATGCGAGTTACGAAACCTGTGTGCCCCGCCCCCTCCGTCCCACAGAATGTATATATGTCGGGAACATGCTCGCTTCCCCCGTGTGTCGCCGCGCGCCCCGCAGCACGGAGCCCCCGCGCCCTGGCCTGCCGGGGGCGGGGGCGAGCGCAGGGCCCCTTCCCCCGCGCAGTCCGTCCGCCAGTCTGTCCGCGTCCTCTGCTCCGTCCACGCTTCGATAGGCCTGACGCAGACCCCCACCCCCTCCGCCGGGGCCCGCCCTAGCAACTTCCTGTACATATGACTGTAAAATGGCAAACGTGTGTATTATATCTGGCCTCGTTATATAGTGTATATATATGTATACATATACATATATATAATATATATGAAGATGTAAATGTTCAGACTAGTGTTCTTATTAGTATATTGCTTCACACTGAAGACTGTGTGTATCGAGCTGTTTCTAAAAGATGTTTATTTTCCTTAAGAGTAAAAAACAGTCATTGCATTCAGAAGAAAAAAAAACAATAAAGATACGACGATTGTTTTGGATCTGTGCAGCCCCTGCCTGGATTCTAACCACAGCCTCCTGGGAGGTGGGCGGGGCGGTGGGGGCAGGCTGGGTGGGGGCAGGTAGGTTGCCACCTGCAGTGCCTAATCCCGCCCCCATGTGAACTCAGACCAAGGAAGGAGGGACAAGGCTGCTGGGGACAGTGACACTGGGTGACATGCCAGGAAGGGGTCAGGCTGTGGCTGCTGTCACAATAGGTCCTTGGTGACAGTCCTCTTGTGTCCTGTCACCCTGCAACCTGCTGGAGGCAGAAGCTGGGAGGCCACTGAGGCGCTAAGGGCTGATGTGGCCTGGTGGGACGGGTCATCAGCGGGTCACACGGCCACCTGTGCCCCCCCCCAACACTGGAAGGAAGTTCATTTTGTCCCACCTCCTCCCACCGGGGCGGGGCCTTTGCCTAGGCACTGCATCCCAAAGGCCAAAAAGACTTTCTGGTCAGCTGACCACACACCGCTCCTCCTCACAAGCGCCAAACTCAGGTTATAAATAATTTCATTTTTTATTCTCTGTACAAAACTCAACCTACGAAAATAAAGTTTGCAAAAGACAAAAAGTAGCAGGTGCACCTCCCAGAGAGAGGCTGGCTCACCCAGATCTACACTATATACAAGTCTTCCCCAGAAGGGACAGAGGCGCCTTGGGGAAGAGGCTCCCTTGCTGGCCGGAAAAGCCAAAATGGGACTCCCTCCCCCCCCACTAACCCCTACACCACCCCCACCCCTTCCTCGTCCATCTAATCTGGGAGGCGCGGGCTCGGCCCCCTGCAATCCCCACATGGGCCACTAGAGGTCAGCACCATCCTGGCCGCTGCTCGAGTAGCGGGAGAGCCGGCTAGGGTGCTGGTGGTGCTGGGGGGGTCTCACCCCTCCTGGCCTCCCGGAGCGAGATACAAAGGCCGCCGAGCGCCTTCCACCCCCGGGGGGCAGCGCAGCCGTGGGTGAGCCGCGGGAGCAGGGCGCTGGGCCGCAAAGCGACGCGGCGGGGGCCTAGCTGGAGGTGACGGTGGTGCCGCCGCCCAGGCGCAGGAGCATCTGCTGACAATCGTGTAGCAGCCGGCGGTCGCCGAGTTTCTCGAGCGTGCGCGCCGCCTCGGCCAGCATGCCCACGCGCTGGCCCGGCGCCGACAGGAAGCCGGGCGGCAGGTAGCACGAGGCTAGCAGCAGCGCCTCAGCGTGCTCCCGCCGCGTGGGCCGCGGCTCCAGCTCCGCCGCCGCCGCTGCCGCCGCCGCACCTGCGAGAGAGACAAGGCCCCTGTACCTCCCCGTGCGCGCACACGCGGGGGTCACCGGCCCCCGGAGCCCACGCACGCATGTGCAGTGGTGTATGCCACGGTGCTGCCCCCCCAACCTGTGCAGCACGAAGCTGGGGGCTCCCCCACGCCCCTGAAAGGGTCAGCCCCGACCCTTACCTCCTTTGCCACCAGGGCCTGCCCGCTTCCGCAGGCTGCGGTCCAGGAGCTGGTGCGTCCGCGCGGGGCTGGCCCCCGCCATCAGCCTGGCAGTAGCCTCGTGCAGGAATACCTGGCGCGAGTTGGGCGCGGGGAGGGGCGGGAAGTCGAAAGGTCAGGCCCAGAGCCACCTGCCCCTGCCAACCACTGCGCGCGAGGCCAGGGGTCCGTGGACACTCACCCTCCGCATGGCGGGCCGGAAGCTCTGCGCCAGACGTCTCAGGCCACTCAGGTCCCGCTGGAAGCCACGCAGCTCCAGGGCAGAGGCCTGGGGCCCGTTGCTGGGGCCCTGGGACCCCTGGGCAGCTGCAGGTGGCTGCTGCTGGCGCCACAAACTGGTGCGCACCACCAGGAGCAGGTCACAGAGCAGCAACTGCATAGCCTGGGGGGAGGGGGTGGCAGGCAGGGCAGGGGTCATGGGCGGGCCGCCCCAGCTGCGGGAGGGGCGGGGAAGGAGGCCCGCGGTGCCAGGGGCCGGCTCCGGGCTGCACTGCCGAGGCACTGCACCTGCCGCGCACACATGCAATGCAACAGCAATGCACCGCGGGGCCGCCCGCCTCTCCGGGCCCCGCCCCCACCACCTGCCCTCAGCACCGCCCGCCTCCCAGCCTCCCAAGAGGCCCCCTCCCCTCGACACGGCTCACCCCACCCTCCTCCTGGGGATGGAGGAACCAGGCTGGGCGGGGACAGCCACTCCCCCCCCCCCCCCACAAGCCTTGGCCAAAGCGCCCCGGCCCCGCGCCAGGCCCCCAGCCCCGCGCCTCTCACCTTGTCGATGGAGCTGCCTGCAGGAGTGGTGGCCAGGCTGTCCCGCAGGTACCCGCTGGCCTTCTCACAGATGGCCAGGCTGGCCGGGCCAGACTCTGCTTTTGCCGGGCTCAGCAGGGCGCGGGCGGCCTTGAAGGAGTGCAGGGCTGCCCTGGGCAGGGGTCTCCTGTGGGAGCCGAGGGCAGGCGTGGTGGTCAGGGCAAGCCCCAGGTTCTCACCAAGCACCCCCCGCCCCCCATCCCACTCCGCGCGCCATCCGGCTTCCTGGGGAAGAAAGCACGGTGACACGCCCCCCTACCCCCCACCCCCACACACGGTGCTGAGGGCCCGGGGAGGGGTGAGCGGGGCCAGCACCCACTCAGACTCCTGCAGGCTCCGGGGCAGGTGCTCCACCAGGGGGTACAGCCGCTCGGCCGCCTCCTCGTCCTGCCGGAGCCAGTGGACCACCACGGCGGTCAGCGAGGCCCACCACTTGGCCACGGGGTCTGTGCCTGCAGGGGACAGGGGAGAGAGAGAAGGGAGGAGGGAGGGGGCTCCCTGAGCCTTTGGCCACACCCACACCGAGGCTGGGGCCGAGCCGAGGGGCGGGGCCAGGACCCCGGGGGCGGGGCTCACCGGCGGTGGTGGCCATGCTAGAGCTGATGGAAAAACTGCAGGCGGGTGCCCCGGCGGCGTCAGAACAGGTGTTCAGCAGCTGCAGGTAGCCCAGGGCGTCGGCAAATTCCCTGGGGGAGGAGAGGGGCCGGCGTTGGCACAGGCGGTGGGGTCCCCGAGGCCCAGGGGCACCGGCCCTGCCCACTCGCTCTGGGCCACCGTCTCCTTCCGCCAGGCTGGGGGACCCCGGCTCCGGCCGCTGGTGCTGCCTGCAGCGCGGGCCACGGGGACACTTACTTGTCCCCATCAGCCGACCCGGGGCTGGGGCTGGGGCTGGGCTGGGCCACACAGGTCAGGGCTCGCTCCAGGAGATGTTCTCGAAATAGCTGGGTCACCCGGGCCAGGGGGTCCACTGGAGAGAGGGGCGAGGCGGTGGGAACGGGGCCCACCCCACCCCGCCCCGCCTCCCCACATTCTCCTCTCCAGGGCCAGACCAAGGGTTCCTCCTTGGTCCCGGGGGCGGGGGTGGGGCTGGGGGTGGAGCCTCCTCTCCCCGGCTCACTTCCCAGTGTCACCTCCCAAATCAACTGCAAGGGTTGGGTTTGCTCTTGCAGTATGCTGGGGTGGGGGGGCAGAGACCCGGCCAGGGGCGCCCCACACCCAACACAGCTGCGGGGGCTGGTGGGGACCACCCAGAGCTGTGGGGGAGAGTGAGGGACAGGGACAGGGACAGGCACGGGCTGAGACGGCACCTGGGTTCCCGGCCATGCTGTACAGGCTCTCCCGCGGGGCACTGCGCACGGCCCAGTCCCCGTCCACAAAGAAACGGTGGCCCACAGGGTGGCAAAGCCACTGCATGGCCAGAGGCACGGAGCCACTCTGTGCCAGGCAGGCCTGCCGAGCGCTGCTCAGGAAGAGACGCTGTGGGGGAGAGGAGAGGGGGGCCGGGCTGTCACAATGGACGCAGACCCCCAGGGTGAGACCCCAGCAGGGGCCCCTGCTCCCCCGCCCCGCCCCGCCAGCGAGCCAGCAAGGAAGAGCTGCAGAGAGAAGCCCCCTAGCCAGCCCTGGCCCCCCCACTCACCGTCAGAAAGTGCAGGGCCCGTGGGAGACTGGTCTTGACCCTCAGAGCGGCCGCTACGTAGATCTCCGCCAGCGTTGCCACGGAGACCGCATCCCCCGCACACTCGGCTAGGTTCAGGGCACTTAGTGCCAGGTTGGTGGCAGCCAGGTGCCCGCCTGTGTACTTCCCTGGAAAGGAGGCGGGGTGTGAGGCCAGGGTGGGGCGGGCTGGGGGGCCCGGGGGCCGGGCAAAGCTCCGCCCCCCCATCACCACCAGGCATACCCATGGCGTGCAGCTGGTGCAGCTTATGGTACACGAGGGCGGCATCCCGGGCACTGGTGCGTGCGTCTGCCCGCAGCGCGCAGTCCCGCTGCAGGCCCCCGGCCCGGCCTGCCAGCCAGCGGCCCACCCAGAGGCGCTGCAGCAGGTGGCGGATGAGGTTCCAGAGCAGGCTGTAGGTCAGGTCCAGGTGGGAGGTGGGCAGCGGCCTGCCCAGGGCCCGCAGGGCCAGCCACAGCTGCTGGGCAGCCTGGGCAAAATCCCCCTGGGGAATGAGAGTTTTGCAGGTGAGAAACGCGGGTTCTGGACCCCCCAGTGCTACAGGGAGAGTGGGCACAGACGGTAGGGCGAAGCCAGTGCCTCCTAGCACCTCCCACTGGGGGCCCACCCCGTACCCGGGCCAGGTCCAGGTCAGCCTGCTTGCGATGCCGCCAGAAGTGCACGGCGGGGTCCGAGTGGGGCCTCGTGACCGGCTCCCCGTACACAAAGAGAAGCGCCAGGGAGATCAGCACCAGGAGTCCATTGCCTACCCAGACCAGAGGGGGCAGCAGCCACTGGGGCCAGGTGGGGCCATCTGGGGACAGAGGGCGAGGGCTGGGGACACCGTTGCCAGGAGACCCAGAGTCCACTCCCCACCCCCGCCCCCTCCCCCGCTCTCCAGCCCTGCCTACCTTGGCCGTCGGTGCCCAGCATAGTACGCCCGGGGTTATGGTGGATGGCGGTGGCATCCGGGGAACCAGGAGGCCCCCGGTTACCCACCAGCAAGGTCAGGGGGTTGCAGGAGAGGCAGAGGACGACAAGGGCGCACAGGGCCAGGCGCGAGCGGTCCA